GAGCTACCACGGGCTTCATACGAGCAGAGGTTCTAGGTTATATCCATACATGGTCCTTGGTGGAGTATCCATCTCAGAAAAGACCCCTGTGCCCAGATATATTTGGTCCTTGTGGAGCTCCTATACTTTCCAAGTCATAGTAACTCCCCTTCTTTCATATGATTCCCTGCACTCTGCTGAAGGTTTGGTTATGAGTCTTACAACAGCACAGGCTCTAAGAGCAATAATCAATAAATGGGACCTCATGGACGACAGCCTACAGACCCATGTTTTACTGCCCTGGAATGTATTCCTTTTTTTTTTTTTTTAACTTTCATTTTAAACATGTTTGAAACCCTTTCTATGTGACAAAATAATCATAGTTTCACAAAAGTTGACAAACCTCACAATCAGTGTTATTTCAGCAAGCTTTCATAAGCAGGACTTGAAAACAGACTGACTTCTTGTACATAAATTTGGACAACTTGCCCCCATACTTAGAACCTTACTTAGTTCCTGTAATTTTGAAGGAGGTCTGTAGGTCCTACTGCTCTTCACCTTACCCATGAGTCTTTCAACTCAGGACTGTAACAATATTTGAGCCCACACTGTTTGCCTCTCTGCCCTAAAATCTGTTTTGATGTGAAACTCAGTATACTGAGTAACCTTGAAATAGAGAAGAATAAATTAATATGAAGGAAGAAAAAAAATCTACTGATTTGTGCATCACATGAATAAAGAAGAAAGGTCCCACAGTCAGTCAGACATTTCGCTTGAAATGAATAAATACTTCAAGTAATTTGTAAACATATGTTTTTATAGTTTAAGTATCAAACTACAGATTTCCATGAGTTTAGGTATGCTCTGATACTTTTATAGCTTAGCTATTACCAATTTTTAACCAAAAGATTTAAAAATATACGTTTTTCATTTATTTATTTTTTATTTATTAAAATTTATTTACTTTGTACCTTGGCTGTAGCCTCCTCCATTGTCTCCTGTCAGTCTCACCCTCCTTCCCTCTTTTCCCCCTTTGCCCTCCCCTAGTCCACTGATAGGGAGGTCCTCTTCCCCTTCTATCTGACCTTAACCTATCAGGACTCATGAGGACAGGCTGCATTGTCTTCCTGGGAAATATACTTTTAAATTGAAAATGTCAACAAAAAAATTTCTGTTTCATAGTAAATTTTACTTACCATTAAAATGATAAGCTTTAAATTCTGCTGCTCTTCATCTGCTGGCTTATAAAACAAAAGGATAAGAGCTATACTATTAGCTGTGATCAAAGTAGACATAGCATTTTCTGCTCTGTAATGATGATGATTTCAGGTTTTTATCATAGAAATAAGGAGGTTTAAGTAGCTAGTCAAAGTTGTTGACAGTGGTGAAACTATATTTTATTATTTCTCATATGCTAAAGCATTCATGCACTAATGTAAATCATCTATATAAATGTTCATTAATATTCATAAGTACATATTAAAATAGTTCTATATTCCAGTAATGTATAATATTTAGCTATTAAAAAGACAGAAATGAATAACTTTTTATTTTCTTTTATTTTGCAGTTATTTTTTTGAGATAATGATATAAATACATCATTTTCTTTTTCCTTTTGTTTTTCTCCAAACTTCCACATATCTCTGGCCTCCTTCACATCTATAGTCTCTTTTTCTTTATTACTTGTTCTTACTTACATGACTATTTGTTAATAAGTAAAGACAATCTGCTTGGTTTAATATCATGTGCTTTTAGGATTGACCATTGGTGTTAGGAAACCAACTGCTGTGCTCTTGCATGGGAAAGACACTACTGCTCTCAGCCTTCCGTAGCTGCCTGTAGTTCTTTTCTTAGGGCAGAGTCCTTAGCACATCTATTGTTGTCTTTATTCAGCTCATTTTTCTGCAGTCGTGTTACTGATGATTTGACACTGTCAGTATTACATTAAGAAGAGGCTTCCCCATGGACAACAATAAAATCATTGCTTTGATGTATAATATTCTTAGATGTGTTCTCTCCCCATTTGGAAGTCTCTATAACTACATGCATCTATGCAATAACCTACTAATAAAATAACTATTCTGGAGTTTAAGTTCTATGTTTGTTGATTCCCATGCTGTTTTTGTTTTGTTTTGTTTTTTACTGGGGAATTATTTCCTGAAAGCCTTGTGAGTTAAAGCATGTTCTGATATCATTTATTTACGCTCAGATGTTTTTTGCTATCCACGCAGCATCTGGACAAAGTGTTTCTCCAAGTCAGTCAACATTTTACCAAATGGCCTTTATGGAAACTGATATCATTCATTAAAATCTGAGGATGTGGCTGGTTATATATTATTCACAGAAAATTTTATTTCCTTTTCAGATAATAAAATTGAGAAATATGTAGAAACCTTTCCATAGGGAAATTTATCCTTTCTGCTGGTATTAGAGCATATGCATAAAGTTAAACAAAGCCTAGTTAAAGTTAGAAGAAAGGGTTTTGAAGACTTTTTATTACAAAATAATTAAGAGTTAGGTCAGAATTAGGTTATCTGGCTTTTTATTTTTTAATTTTTTTAATATTTTATATTAATTACAGTTTATTCACTTTGTATCCCAGCTGTAGCCCCCTCCTTCATTCCCTCCCAACTCCACCCTCCTTCCCTCATCTTCTCCCTGCCCCTTTCCAAGTCCACTGATTGGGGAGTCCTCCTCCCCTTCCATCTGACTCTAGTTTATCAGGTCTCATTAGGACTGGTTGTATTGTCTTCCTCTGTGGCCTGGTAAGGCTGCTGCCCCATCAGGGGGAGGTGATCAAAAAGCCAGCCACTGAGTTCATGTCAGAGACAGTTCCTATTCCCCTTACTAGAGAACCCACTTGGATACTGAGCTTTCCTTTTAACATTACATAATGTTTGAATAAAAATATCACTTAGTATTCAGTATTAGAATGCACAATTGTTACATGTCAGTCAGATAAAAAAGTCTTATAGTAATTTCTAGTTGACACCTGTGTTATGTATTGATATTAATGATTATCTGTTCTTAGGTGATATGTGTAACATATTCTCTATTTTAGATAAAAAAGATAACTATAGTATACATGAAACTTGTTTATCTTTGGAGAAATTAATAGTAGTATTAGTAATAATAATAGTAATAATAATTATATAAAATAAAGGATATGAGATTCAAGTTTTAATCACAGTTAAACTAATAACTTTCTAAATTTGGTCTCCAGTGAGTAGAATTTAATCATATCTTATGACTAATCAGACATTCTTTTGATATATCCTTTTAACTTGGAGTGCAATTGATTATTATATAAAGAATCCATGACTTGATTGTAACAAAAAGGTACCAATCCCAGTAGATTTCTAAATTAAAAAAAAAAAAAAACATTTCTCTTAGTTTTTGATACTATAATATAAGTATGAACTCAGTGGCCGGCTCTCTGATCCCTTCCCCTTGAGTGGTTCAGCCTTGCCAGGCCACAGAGGAGACAATGAAACCAGTCGTGATGAGACCTGATAGGCAAGAGTCAAATATAAGAGGAGGAGGACCTCCTATATCAGAGGACCAGGGGAGGGACATAGTGGGAAGAAGAAGAAGGGAAGGTGGGATTGGGAGGAGATGAGGCGGGTGCCCACAGCGATTATATAAATTGAAATAAATTGTAATTAATTGATAATAAAAAAGAAAACAGAATTAAAAAAAAAAAACCAAGGAGTTTTTGTGAGAGTGTATCTCCAATTAGTTTTTTTGTTTTGTTTTGTTTTGTTTTGTTTTCTGTCAGAATAAGTAGTGCCATATAAGCACAAGATAAACTCTGTGGCTGGATCTTTAATCACCTCCCCCTGAGGAGGGAACAGCCTTGCCAGGCCACAGAGGAGGACATTGCAGCCTGTCCTGATGAAATCTGATAAACTGGGGTCAGATGAAAGGGGAGCCTCCTCCCCAATCAGTGGACTTAAAGAGGGTCAGGGAGGACATGAGGGAGGGAGGGTGGGATTGTGAGGAAGTGAGGGAGGGGGCTACAGCTGGTATACAAAGCAAATAAACTGTAATTAATAAAACAAAAAAACAGGAAAATAACAAAAATGATAAAATAACAAAAACAAACAAACCAAACTTAAAAATCAGTGCTTTAAAACTTGAAGCAAAGTCAAATTATCTGTGAAACAATGGAGGCTTCCCTATGCCATCCAATGTTTATAATGGAAATATGCTTCTGGACCTTTCAGGTTCTTTATATAAACCCAGGTTTGCATGTAATGGAAAACAATTTAAAGTCGAATGTACAAGTAAGAGGACTAACACACTGTTTTTTGTTTGTTTGTTTGTTTGTTTTATTTTTTTCAAGACAGGGCTTTTCTATCTTGGCTCTCCTAAAGTCCCTTTGCAGACTAGGCTGGCCTGGAACTCACAGAGACCCTCCTGTCTCGCCTCTGCCTCCCCAAGTGCTAGGATTAAAGGCATGCACCACCATGCCCAGCTGAATTTGAAGTAATTTAATTCATTCTAGATTGTAAAATGAATGTCTCCACAGTTGCTGCAGATTCAAGTTCATGACACTTCTTTGTCATGAGTAGAAAACTTCATGCTGAAGGCCCAGACATTTTCAATTTAATCCCACGTTTCCATTAAGTTATGAAGGAAAAATTGATTTGAGTTAAGTGAGGTACTTACATACAAAGGACATGGTATATTCATATCATTTTTATTTCTTAGTAATAATAAAAATAATAATTGAATGACTGTTTGGACTTTCTGTTAGTGTCCTGAAAGAAGCTACTTATTTGTTCCTTTATTATTTAGTGCTTTTGTGGGAGCTACAATAGAATCACACCAAAAAGGATTGCTCAGTAATTATGCTTATATGACCTATTTTTTTCAGGTATTCTTCTGTGGTTATTCTCCCAGATTTGTGATAAACCCAACGCTTTTCCTTATTGTAACGATGTAAACCTAAGTATGTTTTTCTTTTCTTTCTTTTTTTTTTTTTTTTTTTTTTTTTTGGTTTGTTTTGTTATTCTTAGCAATGGTTGTTTTGAGCAGCCTGGAACCAAATACTACTTACGAAATCAGGGTAGCAGCGGTAAATGGCAAAGGGCAAGGTGACTACAGTAAAATAGAAGTATTCCAGACTCTGCCAGTCCGTAAGTAGCCATAACTTCCTCACTCTCTGTTTCCAGATCCTTCTCTTGAAAATTTAATGGGAGTTTTAAATGCAGAAAAGCATTTCAATACTTTAGGGAAGTGAATTATCTCTCTGTTGAAGGTTTTACTGAGTAAGTGGCATCTTGAGGGTTATAAAAATAGCTCTTCTCTAAGTTGGCCAAGAAAATAAAATTGTAGTAGAATATAAACAGTAAATATGCTCTTAGGAAATATTTTATATTTATAGTGTGATTAATTAGATTATGTCTGCAGATTGTATTGTGTTCACAGAGAAATGTTATGTGACATGTCTCTTTTACTGAGATATAGCTAATATCCGGAAGGTTATGTGAACCTTAAAAAATAAGAATACAAATCTCAAATCTGTCTTAGTTTGAGTAATTTGTAGCCAATTTAGTTTACGTAAAGTCATTTTAAGCTTTAAAAGGCATTGCCTTATATCATTTTTAAAATTGTGAGACAGTTTATTGAGAACGACTGAATACAGCTATTGTAAAATCTGGGGAAGAATCTGCCTCCTGCATGAAAATATTGGTCAACCAAATTGACAACTGTTGTTAAAATGTATGGCCTAACAAATGTTTATTATTAGGCTATAATTATCACGGCAGTACTATCTAACCTGCTATCAACCAAATAAAAACACAGACACCTGTTGTATTTTCTATAATAGCCTTTACCTGGGACACTGCAGATATTAACCCTCTAAACTAACTTTACCTCCCAGCCCAATTGCAAGCTACCACCCATTCATGGTCCAAAAATATTATTAATGTTCTCCACCTCCTCGATCCACGCTGATCCGGCCATATGCTCCTTTCCCACTCTAACCCACAGAGCCAATCTGTTTCCTTCTTCTCTGACCCTGTCTCTTCCTCCTTCTCTCCAGGTGGACATTTGACCCCACCTGGTCCCTCCTGCCTGCAAACCCCAAACTGCACCTCCCTTTCTTCTGCCAAACCCCAAACTTCATCATTTTTTATTAACCAATCATCTTTAAATTAGGTGGAGCTAGGCTTACACAACTAAGACAGTATAGTTGAGAATATGCTCCTCTGTGCAGGGACCTTTGGGGCCAGTAATTAACATTAAGTCACATATCACCCCAACAACCACAGTAGATTTCTACTCTCTATCTTTTGGCAAAGATTTTTTTTTCTGTTGCTTCCCAGACCTTACCATATAATAAAAATAAAAATTAAAAAAGAGATAACTTTGTCCTTCTGGCATCCACATCAATGCACACCAGCACACACGTTTGCACACACATAGACACACACATTCTGCAACTACCACCAATACAACCAAGATCACAGCCACCATGACTCTCATTGTCTGATTTTCTCCTTCCTCCTAAATCATAAAACTTCTCTTCCCATAATATGTTGTTGCTGACTTGTCAACCTTTCTCGAACACTACAAATCCTTTGAAATTAGGTGCGATTTTTTTATTGATTGGTTGACTGAATTTTATACAAACGGAAGACACTGTTTCATCTACTTTCTGCAACAGAATCTATATTTGTTTTTCATTTTATTTTTCAAATGAAGTTGTGCCATATAATAAAGTAACATTCAGAGGCTGTGATTATCTGCATTAGACCTATATGAGATTAGGTACTAACATTTCATCATTAATAATGGGGTAAAGTTCCTGAAGCCCTACCCAATCCTGAGAGAACACTGGCTGTTAATGTCTATTAGGAGGAGTGTCCTTTTCTTCAGTGCTATGGACACTTGCTCCAGTAAACAGTTGACCTTGCTCCAGTAAACAGTAATTATACACCGATGGTGACACAATGAGAAAGACATAAAAGGCCGAAGATGGTTTTAGATAAAAGAGAGAAGGGAATGAAGTGAAAATGATTTAATTAATATTATATAAACTTATGAAACTATTAAGCTATAAAAAATTTTAAACATAACTTCTTTAAGTTAATTTTTTTTCTGGTTAATTTTTTAAATTAATTTATTTATTACAATTTATTCATCTTGTATTCAGACTGTAGCCCCCCTGATCTCCTCCCAATCTCTCCCTCCCTGTTTCTTCTCCCCCTATGTTCCTCCCCTAGTCCACTGATAGGAGAGGTCCTCCTCCCCTTTCTTCTGACCCTAGCCTATCACATCCCAGTCCCATCAGGGCTGGCTGCATTATCTTGCTCTGTGGCCTGGCAAGGCTGTATCTGCAGAGAGAGGTGATCAATGAATAAATACTTCTAGTGTATGTATATGTAATATAGTTGCTACTAGAAATTTAGTTTCTTCTTTTTAGCTATCTCAAAATGCTATATTAAACTAAAATTATTATAGTGTCATTATAAATGATCCTATTCTATACGACATGGAAATTCACACTTTAAACATAGAAATTATACTAAACCATCTGAGCCTTAAAAACTATTTCACAAGTGAGCATCAAGTAATGCTCAAAATGGCAACATATCTGAAGTAAATCAAATAAAATGCTATCGGATATAAGGTGTTGGCTTAATGAAAAAGCAGTGTTCTTTGGCATGGAAAGCGACTGTTTATGAGGAAGTTTCCTGTTACTTCCTAGGTGAGCCAAGTCCGCCTTCCATACATGGACAACCAAGCAGTGGGAAGAGTTTTAAAATCAGCATCACCAAACAAGATGATGGAGGGGCTCCTATTTTAGAATACATTGTGAAATACAGAAGTGTAAGTACCTTCTGACTCATATATTGTACCTTATTTCCTATTACATGAGGAGTCACAATGATCTCAAAGGTTGACTAGGAATGAATCCATAATTAATGATGTAAAGGGTAACATTAATATTTCTATTCATGAAAATCATCACTATATGTGACCTTCTCTTTTTTTATTAAAGTTTAAGCAGATATTTTCAAAATATATTTTGATGGTTTTGACCTTAATTATAGTTCTGAAATGTGATTTAAAAACATAAAATGAATAGCATTTTTTCTTTATGTGACTAGTTTTCTCTCTTTTTCATTTAATGTTAGTACATTACTCTAAATTTGTGGTTCATTGAAACTAATATTGGAACTTTATTACCAACTTTTCATGTTGCAACATGTCTGATAAAAGTAACTTGAGTAAGGGATGATTTCATTTGAGTCACAGTTTAAGAGGTGGTGATTCATCGTGGCAATAGTTCCTGGCCTGTGCTGGCCTTGTACTGGGAATGAGGAAGCAGGGAGAGGAATGCTGGCATTCAGCTACTTTTGGCCTTTAGTCCTTACTGGACTCTAGTTCATGAGGCAGTATGTCTCACTTTTAACCACAACAAGACTTCCTTTTCCCCCTTAAACCTCTGGGAAGCATCCTCCTACATGTGCCCACAGTTGTGTTTCTAGAAGATTCTTTGAAAAAACTTTGCATTGTTTTTTGTGTACAGGTATTTTGCCTGCCTCTGCACTGTATGTATGTGTGGTTCCTATAAAGAATGTAAGACCTGCGGTCATATAGTTACAGACAGTTGTGGGCCACTACGTCGAAGATGGGGAATGAGTTGCTTTCTTCTGGAACAAAAGCCAGTGCCCTTAACCATTAAATTCTGTAGCCCTTGTAAATGATTATGGATACTTTCAAGTTGACAATGAAGGTCAACTTCCCAAGATAGGAATATTAGCACACTGCACCTAAGAACAGTTATTATAATGAAATAGATCTATCAGCATTTAAAAAGAGAATGGGCAGTGACCTTTTGTAAAAGGGATCATTTGGATTAAATTTGAATTGGTGAGCAAAGGACTTCTGACATTAAGAGGTGTGAGGGAGTTTTTAAAGGTTTCTGTGAAGAGGGATTCTGCTTGTTATGAGATCGTGGACAAAGTTTTCCAATGTATGTTTATTCTGTTTCACTATTATATATGTTGCTGATAGTCACTGAAAGTGATTACTTATCAAAAGATTCCCAAAAGCCAAATTTTGTTTGAATGTTTTATAAAAAAATGTGTGTGTGTGTGTGTGTATATATATATATATATATATATATATATATATATATATATATATATGCTTAAAATTGTGTTTTTGTAGTACTAGAATACAGTTTCAACAGCTTTTCTATATTTTGTTAACTATGTCAACTTGAATATTAGATTTTAAGACATTAAGGTAAGTAAATTGATTTTGAATGGAATATGTCAGTAAACAATTTTATATACCATTTTGGTTTTCTCATTTAATTCCAATGTTCCCTTTACAAGTCAGTTCTCTTTTTAAATTAATAGTTTCCTGTGCCTTCCTCCTTCCCACAACTTCCATATTCTTCCACATTCCCATTCAAATTTATGGGCTCTTATTTTTATATATATATTTTTTCATATTTATTTATTTTGTATCAAAAATATAGCTAGCTTACACTCTTAGAGCTAGCGTAAGTAAAATAATCTAAGCTCCAAAAAAAAAAAAAAATCAAAATAACAACATGAACACCTTGAAAAGATAATATATTGCCCTTATATGTAGACACAGTAGTTTATACTCTTATATTCTACAACCAAGCTAACATTATGTGACATAATAGAATTTCTCATCCTTGGAATTTTTTTAAACTATTATTGTTTTGTATGCCCTTCCCTCACCACCACCACACACACACAAACAAACATGTAAATACAACCTGGAGTTAAGGCCCTTTAGTGTTGTTTGCTTATATCTGTTTTTAGGAAACATCACTCTCTCTGCTCCAGACTTCAAGCTGCCAAAAAAGAGCAGCTTGGTGATTTTTTTTTTTCATGCTTTTTCTTAAGGATTCAAAACAAGAGTGAGTCTCTGAAGGTCTCCTTGGACACCAGGTAGATCTACTCTGACAGTACAACGCAATTTGCGTCAGACATCTTGGAAATTCTCATTTTCTCATTTGAAAATTATGTACACAAGAGCATCTCTCTGTCTAAAGACCATAGACTAGAGCTGCCTCATTAATTACACTAGAATAGGTTTTACTTGTCTCATTTACTTTCATTTACTTACCTATAGTTGTACCCAGAGGGGTTTTTGCTGCAAAACACTGATTATTAGTGATTTCTGAGAAAGGACATCAATAAAATAGTACAGTCGACATTAAATTATAATGAAATAATAATGTGGTTACTAAATATTTCTGTGGATATTTTTATTTGAAGTTAAAGGTATGTTTGGTTGTATAATATAATAAATTGACAGCAGAGTAACAGAAATAGTACATTCAGTGCAAGCAGGTTGTTGTTTTCAAAGGGCAGTAGCTGACATTGATTACTTCATGCTATGCCTTTTTAACCTTCATTGTTATTGAGTTTTAATAAATCAAGCATACTTTAGGAATGATGTTTTACTTCTAATAATTCTAGGAGTGTTATTATTTCTAGTTATTTAAGAATAGGGATAGAAACTAAGTATGCTACTGAACATGACATTCTTCAGCATCAAAATGCAAACAGAAGAAGGAACATCATTAAGATAAAATGTAAAGGACATCGTGCAAGAGCATACCTAGGGTGCAGCCGCAGCGGACTCTGTCTCATCTCCCTCACCTAAGCAGTATCATAAAAGATGCAGCACTGCATAATCCTGCAGGAAACAAGTCAGGCCTCATTTTTTTCTAGGGATTTCTCTCTTAAACTCAGTGTTGAGTGCTTCTTTGTTAAAATATACATTTGGAATTAGGCAAAAGGAAATATGATTAAAAGGTATTAAGGAAAGAAGATTTTTTTTTTCTCCCGGACTTAGATGTTTATTTGTTAGGTAATCCAGGATTAGGGCAGCATTTCAGAAGTACTATCAAGAATGAAATTACTTTCTTTCATATTTGTCCGTTCTTAGAACACAGGCTTTATTCTCATTCAGCTTACAATGTTCTTTTTAGAAGGTGGCTTTAAATTCTCATTCAAGATGTGGAAAGTCGTCGGGGATGATATGTTTAATGTGTTCTTGAATTCGGTTTGTGAGTATTTTATGGAACCAAAATACCTGGATCCAGGAGGGCCTGCAGTTACTGATACTACAACCAAGAACAAGGCATGGAGAGAACCTAGACCCCCTGATCAAAGGAAGCCCACTGGCTGCTCAGTTTCCAAGCTGGTTCTCTAGTAAGGAATACAGGGCTATCTCTGACATGAACTCAGTGGCATGCTCTTTGATCACCTCCCCCTAGGGGATGCAGCCTTGCCAGGCCAGGGAAGAAGATGATGCAGCCAACCCTGATGAGACCTGGTAGGCTAAGGACAAATAGAAGAGGAAGAAGACCTCACTTATCAGGAAATCAAAGAGAGCTGTTTAGTTACTGTGCAGTTGAATCTACCCTCATTATATCAAATTGTATTTTAAAATAAAACGCTACCAAACATAATTTCATTTATACAAACAGACTTTTATCTATTATGGACATATAAGGTGGAGTGTAAAATGCCTAATGCCTAAACTGGTGATCAGACTTCAAAGAATAAAGGTGACTGACTCCAAGCCTGATGACCAGAGTTCAATCTTCATAACACGTATACTATAAGAAGGTAATCAATTGTAAAATTTTCCTCTGATTTCTCTATGAGCAACTTGATACACCAATAACCATACACATACACAAGACAAATATATTTTTAAAGGTATACAAGATTTTTCTATAGATTTCTCCATATAAGATGACTTACACAGTAGTCTGATTCACAAAAACCAGCAACTGCTTGAAATGTTAGCAACATTCATTTTATTATTCTAGTATTTGTCATATATATTTGAAAAACAGAACAATATTTTGTCTTGTAGAACATTGGGGTTTAAGAATTCTGTTACCCCATGTAGCATACTTCACATCATTGGTTCCCACTCGCTGGAGTGCTGCTAGTATCAGGCCCAGGCATGGCTGACGACAAACTGTTTCATTTATTAACACTCCATCTATTTAGAGCCAATTATTGTCACAGAAGTAGAATACTAAGAATTTGGATTTTCACCTATACATCTATGTGCTTATTTCAGTTTTTATTAAAAAACAAAGTTATCTCCAACTGAAACCCATTTACAAAGAGAAAGTTAGCCCTCTCCAATGGAGCCTCACTAGAGACATTCACCACACTTACAGGCCTAAGCCTAGCAGTAGATAGCCAATAAAATTTGAAAATGTTATTTTTGTAGATTTTTCCCTCTCATATCGCTTTGGTGATTTTTATCTGAACTGGTATTTGCTTATATGATTTTGTTTTGACTTTGTAGTTTTAAATGTTTTGATTTTATGTGTTTGTATATGTGTTTCTTATACTTTCTCTTTGTTATTCCATTTCTATTCTGATTTGTTTGCTCTTTTATTTGACTGTTTTCCAAAAAGGAAGAAAGAGAAGGAATGGAATTTGGTAGGTGGTGAGGTGAGGATTATCTGGGAGATATTGGGTGAAGGAAAAACCTTGATCAGAATATAGTGTATGAAAATATATTTTCAATAAAAAATGAAAAGGGAAATTATCTAAGATTATTACTTATTTATCTCTCTATGTTCATTTAATATTTTTAACCATATTTTTAGAATGGATCTTCTCTAACTAGCATAAATATGTACTGGAGTATACAATTGTCAACCATAATGATGAAATTAATAATAATTTTCTAGAGATTCTAGTTTAGAAAATGGTCATCAATATTCTGCAATTGAAAATACTTAATCATCAATATATATCAATTTATGAAGGCATGATTTATCCATTTCTGTCTTTTGTCAT